AAGTCCTCCTTTTCTTTTTACTCCAGATATAATCTCCTTGAAATCAGTGGGTCCACCTATGGAATAAGATACAACTCAGCATATGTAAGTGTATCAGCATCTGCTCCCTGATTTTCTTCCACGGATATCTTTAAAACATTCCATGACAGTCTACATAAAGGAAAATCAAATCAGAAAAACAAACATTTTAAAAACAAATGAACAAACAAACCAACCCAAGCTGACTGGGTCTTTTTAAATGTTACAGGATGGTTAACAATAAAATCCACAGAAAGGTTAATTTCTATTAAATTCTACAGGACTTTTCCCGAGAGGACACAGAAGACTTCCAAAACTAACTGGAGAAGAAACGTCACATATACAATAGCTTCCTGGCAGGAAAGAAAAATTCCTGTGCATAGCATAAAATCAATCAATCCATCAATCAGTCATTTCCTGGCAAAGCAGAAGAGCACCTGTAGCTGTGGGGTATTTGGACACAACCACTCATTTTTATTGCTGGGCTCTCAAAAGAAGTCAGTTGGCAATAAGGTATAAATATATATATAGTTCCTTATGCTGGAGGCTACACAGACATGCAAACCATCACTGTGATGTTGTGTATATGCAAACAGATGATCAGAGGCCACCCGTTGGCATCGCAATTAACAGGTACCTCTCACTTGCTGGAGGATTCTCTGCTCCTTGAGGTCTTCAAACTACAATTTGAGGACTTCAATAGCAACAAAAAAGGGGGGGGGGGTTTTTTAGGGGGGGGGGGGGAAATTCTGTGGCCTGCATTGTGCAGGAGGTCAGACTAGATGATCATAATGGTCCCTTCTGGCCTAAATATCTATGAATCTATGAATCTATAATAGCAACTCTACTGATAGGAAAGGGTTGACATAAGTAACATGTGGAGGAGAAAGAAAGTGGCACCTTAGAGACTAACAAATTTATTTGAGCATCTGCTTTTGTGAGCTACAGGAGAGTCACATGAAGCACCCACAAGCCAACCAATATGACAAATGGATTAGAGACCATCCTAATGTTGTTCCCCTATCACTGTCCCAGAGTTAGTGGGTCTGATTCTCAGCTCCAGTGAGTAACTCCATTGATTTCTGTGTAGTGACTCCAGATCTACATGCCGGCAAGAGATCAGAAGCAGACCCAGGATTTTCTGCACTTATCCCACTTGTGTGTTGTCATAACCCTTCTCGCACGTACTGGATCACTCCCCAAGGAGGAAAAGGCAGCTCCTTCTCCTCGTTACCAGTTCAGAACTGCCACTGTGCCGATGACAAGTGACTGCTTCCAGAACAGACTGCACAGCCAGGAGGTGTCCAATGTGAAGGTCACACACTGGAACCCACTATGCCCAGCTGGGAATTGGACACAGGCCTCCTGAAAACTACTGAGCATAATGCTTACTAGTGTGAACGCTACATCAAAGTCAGTGGCCCAGTTTTCCTACCTGTGCTCATGCTGATACCTTACTCTCCAAGTCTTCCTGATGAAATCAACAAGACGAGGTGTGGAGCATGGCAAAAGTGGCAGAACAAGACCCTTTGGGATGATACTACTGTACTTTAGCAGTGTCTGAAGGATGGGGCCTTTCAAGAATTGTCCATCACTCACGGACATTAACGGAATGACTCCCATTGACTTCAACAGACACTGGACGAGGTCCTTAGTTCATAAGAGCCTCCACAATTCACATCCCTGGGGTAGAACTGAGGCCCAGCGAGCAGCTCACATGCTAATCTCTTGGGGCCATGACTCCCAGTGACTTTCCCACAGCCCAGAGCAAGAACAAGGCACCTTCTCCACCCCACCGAGGTGATACTTAGAAATCTGGAATGCAGCCCAGGAGAGATTCTCAATGGCTCTGATCAAGAAAGCTCAGATGTAACTGAACAACTTTCCCGTTCCTCAAACGTCACAAAATGGAACACGGCAATGGTTGCGAAGTGGACTTTCTCATCCTAAATATGTCCCACCAGCTGGAAGAGGCAGCCTCTGTTCAACACCGGAGGGGGTCAGGAGTGTTCTGCGTTATGGAACTTTCAAGAATGTCCTGCTAAGGGGCCACTTGTGGAAAAGTCCTATGGAATGTATTAGGGCAGAAATTGGTAGGGGCTGTAGAAACCACTTTTGAAATCCTATAGATTTTAATGGACAGTGAGGTCCTTCCTGAAGGCTATGTTTAATCAGTCCTACAGCACAGATAGAATTCTCCATTCAATTCTATAGGGCTTATTCATGGAGATAGCTTAAGAACATAAATTCACAGGGACAAACCATTGAAGCACCAGCAACTTCTAGAATCACTGGCATTCTCAGGTGATTACTCTACCAGCTGTGCAAAAGGTGCAATTTCTAAGCGTTATCAAAAATTCCTCATATTCTCCCAAGCCACTTCATCTCAGATTGTCTTCACCCAAGGCGAGATCTTCATATACCTCCTCCAAGAAACCCTGCCACATGGGCCCATGTGCAAATCCATTCCAGAGAGGGGCTAGATGTGTATGTAGTACACAGGATCCCACGTTTCCTGCTCTGCCAATGCAGCTGACGAAGCTGGATTCCAACCAGCTCCCAGGCACTGTCTGCAATATGTATCTCATGCTTTTGGCTGTGGTGATTCATGAGGCTTCCTCTGGTGGTACAGGTGGTCTACATAGAAACCACCAAAAACACACGAAACGACACTCAAAGACAGTGACATAGTGCAGGCACTCCTTCTCTCACACACACTGCTAATCCCAGAAAGCAAGGTTGCGTCTAGTGAATATCTCCACCTTCCATACACAGATATACTCTTTTCAATGACTGACGTTCTTGGACTCTGTCTCAGCAGCATTCCGGTGCAGCATCAGTTCTTGGCTTCCTCCTGCCGTTCCCAGCCCAGGTGCGTATGTTTGCATTCAGAAAAAAAGCTTTTCATCCCACCTGGGGCCCCCATACCTTTGTGGATCCAAACACATGTTGAAGTACACACTGGCACAAGCTGTTGGGCACTCCAACATAAACCGGGGAGTACTTCACACAGCTATAATTGGTGGAGAAAAAAAGCAAAAGATAACTGAGGATCAGACTCCATTAATAAGAGCTATTTGTGGGCCAGTCAAGCCAATCTCCTTCCCCTTCCCTATGCTATTATCTTAGGCCAAGCCTGGTACATGATATCAAGTAGATCTCTGTGCAATACATTTTGCCTTAGAAGAGGGTTAATTCCCACCAACACCTTTCTGGCACTGGGATACCAAAGACCAGTTAATAAGAACCAGGTTTTTGAGTGACGTCGCGAGCCAGTCGATTCCACACCGCTTGGTTCCTAAAATATTTTATCCCATGGTTCTTTAGCTCACCAGTGGTCCCTGGATCATGGCTGGAGAATCACTTAGTAAGGCAGCTTCAGTGTCCTCAGCGGCTCACCCTGTAATTCTGTCCTGCAATGGAAACTGCTGATGAGTGCCGAGCAGATTCCCTTGCTCTTCAAATTCAATGTACAGCTCCAGGAGTCAGGGCCAGGGGCCAGAAAGGAGACTAGGGCTTTTCAGCTAAGGAATCAGTCCCGCCCCCAAAGAAGAAAAGAAATGGTCTTACAGATAAGAGGGCCAGATCCTCAGCTGGTGGAAGCCAATGTATCTCCACTGACGTCAGTGGAATTGTGCTGCTTCACATCGCCAGCTGAGGACATGGCTCAACAAATATTCACAAGATGAAAAGGAGTACTTGTGGCACCTTAGAGACTAACCAATTTATTTGAGCATGAGCTTTCGTGAGCTACAGCTCACTTCATCAGATGCATACCGTGGAAACTGGCAGTTTCCACGGTATGCATCTGATGAAGTGAGCTGTAGCTCACGAAAGCTCATGCTCAAATAAATTGGTTAGTCTCTAAGGTGCCACAAGTACTCCTTTTCTTTTTGCGAATACAGACTAACACGGCTGTTCCTCTGAAACCTGTCATTCACAAGATGATCATTCTCCCCAGAGGTGCTAGGTTCCTGGCACCAACAGGCTAGGTAAGGCCAATGCTGTTATTCAAACAGGAACATTCTGACCCGCTGCTGGCCAGACGGGCAGACGAAATAACCTGCCTGGTCTCACTTTCCAGCTCCGACACGATTCCAGGCACAGCTGCACATGGAGACAAAACATTAAGCCACTCAGCAGCACAACAATGCGCCGGTCCCACCCACTGTCCCCCTCAACAGCCACTTTCAATAATGCCCCAGAGAAATATGTCTGCATCTGTCTCCTTCTCTCTCAAGCCACCAGCTAGCAGTACACACTATTCTTTCAGGGCCCGACCCAGAAGTTGTGATGTGGGTGCAGCAGGATTGGGCCACAAAGTACCAAACGGGCCAATCCTCCAGAGCCCCTCTTCGCCACAGGGTTTCCTGAAAAGGGGGCAAGAGACAGAAAGTGATGGGCTTGAATGACAGCTAATGCTTTCTTTTATAAAAGGCAGATTGTTTATTGGTTCAGGCCTTCCTCTTGCGACCTCTTTGGTAACAGTCAGAATATTACTGTGCTGGTAGGGTGCAGACCCAAGGGCCTGATTCTGATCTCGCACACCAGTGCAACGCCCTTGACGTCCATGGGTTTACTCCCCATTTGCCCTGGTGGGAGGTCAGAGTCAGGTCTCAAAGGGTGACCACAAATTCAGCCCAGGGAGATGCGCAATGCGGCGCACATTCTTCCTGAGCAACTGCAGCTGGCAGCTACCAGAGCACGGTGGTGCACCTCGATCTGAACAAAAGACCACCTGGATGGAAATGCACCCTGGGGTCTTCGTCACAGGTTTCCCTCCGATCTCAGGCAATTTGGTGCAACCCTTGCAGGTTCCCAACAACTTGCCCACGTGGCTCTCAGCTGAGCCACATCGGTATGCGCCTGCTGTAGCTGCTGGCACAATGGCCATCGTGATCTCCTCCCACACGAGAGAGGATAACCTTTGCTTTCCCACCCTCCCCGTACATCAGACCATCCCAAAGAGAGTGCTGCCGAACTTGGAGTTAAAGATAAACATATATTGATTACACCTGGTCATTAAAAAAAAAAACAACGTTGTAATAATACATTTCCTAGAACATTACTTAAGATGCTTTTGGAAAGCATCCAAACTCCCCCGACCCCCTTCCCCGCGTCTACACAGAATAAAGTGCTTCATTTATTTTGTTCACAACTAGTAGAGCCACCGATACACTCTTTACTTGGCATGTTTGGGCAACAGATACTGAATGCCATAAAATAATACACAGCCAGACGTCAGGCATTAGAAACTAGTTTGAGGCAAGTGAAGTGCTTGTGGGGTTTTTTTTCTGTCCATTTGTTTCCTTTAAGTTCCACGCTACCGAGGTTGTTCTTTTATTAGGTTCTACCCACCCCTTCCCTTCACGGATGACATGTCTCTAGGCAGGGCGGTGCTGGAAAGCGGCTTCCATCCATGCGGACCAAAGGTGTCTGTCTGTCTGCAAAGAGTTAAAAATCAAGGTTGTCCAGCAGCTGATGCCAATTTGCTATTGCACTGTGTCACAGCCATCTCAGTCCCTTACCCCTCTGGCTGCGTTCTCGTTATGGCTGTCGGCCAGGGGGCCAGCCCTGCTTTATGAACACTATGAGGCAAACTGGTCTGGCCTACCAGGCTCCTGGGAAATTGCCCCCTCCCTGCAAGTTCAACACAAGAAAATGAGGCAGGGCGAGTGGGCAGGGTTGTGTGTGTGTGTGTGTGCGTAGAGTTGTTTGCTGAACGTTCATTAACTGCTAGTGGAAATAAAGCCCCTCTCATACTCATGGTGCATTGTAGGAGGGATGCGAGGGGTTAAGGTGCAAGAATTCAAAGAATAAAATGCTTGACAAGAACAGGCCGAATTTCTCCCCTGGTCAAACTCAAGAGGCTTTGCAGGAGTTCTACCAGGGATGAACAGGGGCCAATACGCTTCTGGAACCATTCGCTTCAGCTCTCGGTACGGTCACAAAAATACCCAAATCGACACATTCAGACTCAATAAGGGTGTAGACAAAAGGGTTGGAGACGGCGCAGGATTCCTGGAGGCGTCTCTCAGTCCTGGCCTTGGGGCACCAGGGATCTGACTCCCCAGGGTTTCGTGTGCATGCCCTGCTCTGCTGTCTCCAGGCTGCTCTCTGGGCAACGTTTTAAAATGAATCCAAATGGGCAAACAGGCGTGGATGGGTTCTTTATGCACCAGGGTCTAAGCCGGGCAGCTGCAGCAGCCGAATCACCAAGTGGCAGAATTCTCCTCCCGCTTACACCCGTTTGACGCTGCCTTCGGTGGGGTCACGTCCAGGTCCCCTAGCGGCATGCTGTGGCAGCTTTAGTAAGACATGCAACAACTCACTTGCACATCTTAGGCAATCCCAAATAGCGCCCTCCACGCGCCGTGACCTCGCATGGGCAAGAGCACACTGGACGGAGGATGCCATTTTGTTTTACAGAATGGGGTCCCGCGGGGGGGCATCCCTCGGGTTGCCAGTTGGACAATACACAGCCGATTGTGCACGCAATGCATGTGTTGCGTACACAGACGGCATCCCACTGGATTTACCCCCGCTTGTGGGGAAGAACAGGCCCCTGAGACAGGCACACTGAGAAACTGCAGCAGGCTGGGGGAGAAGTAAGCGATTCTGATCAGATTCTAGGCAATTAGTGACTTTCCCTTTTGGATAGCGTGCACTTGGGTGAGTCGATTCAGTGCTGGGGAAAGGGACCGGTTTCTCGGCCATGGAGACTTACATTTTCTGGCCACGGAACAGCCCCATTACGGGCAGTGCTACCTTTCCTCACGGCGCCCTGCCCACCTGCCGCAACCCTGACGTGGAAGAACAGGAGTGGCAGGGGAAATCAGTGTGCACAACCCTTTCTTTCCATGACCTCTGTTGAGACTGCCCACAAGAGCTAGGCAAGAGGGACAATGATGGAGGTGGCTTTTAATGACACGAACGCCGAGCCACTGGGATGAGACCATCAAACCCCCTATGGCATAGGCCTTCAGCCAGCCATCTTCAGAGGATAAGACTTTCCAGTCATGACCAAAGTGAGTTGGGTTCACACCAGTGACCTAAATGCCTGAGTGTCTTAGCTCATTGCCAAGCTCTTGAGCCATCAGGTCTCCTTGCAGACACATGTGATATCTGAAAGATGCTGGACAGTCCTAACAAAACCCAGGACGCTGGACCTCTGGAAGTAGCTGAGTTGGACACCCTGTCCCATGGGATATCTGCCACTGATCTGAGAAGCTGCAAGGTGCTCACAGCCATACCGGCAGCCCATTCAGCGGCCGCCTCACTTTACATGAAGCAGAACCAGACTGTCTGTGAGCACAGAATCTGCAATACACGACGTTAACTGATTGCGATATAGAGGCTGCGGCTGACACAGGCGAGAGAAGTGGTCAATGGATGTGAAAAGCGATGTGCCTTTCAGTGCCAGCTCGTGCTCGAACGAGGAGGTGCCAGCCGTGGGGGACAGCACAGGAGGTGCGCTTGGGATGCCAAGCAGGAGGGAAGTGGATCAGTCATTTAAAAGTGGATCAGTCATTTAAAGTCACAAGCCAGCAGTCTTGCCCTAGTCAGCAATGCACTTAATCTCATGCTTAACTTTAAGCACATGGTTAAATCCCATTGACTTCAATGAGGCTTAAACACATGGCTGTTAAAGAAAGATGGCCTTCAGCATGTGTTAAATGCTGTGATGAGTTGCGGCTACAAGGACACGTCATTGCAGCTTCTGCCTTAGCCAGACACGGCTCAGAATCCCCACGCATGTAGGTGTCTCAACTGAAGCTATAAAGCCAACAGAACAAACTGCTAACAAGAAAGGGCTTCTTCAGCTGACTACATGTCTTCTCCCTCTTGCCTCCCTTCTTCATATCCCAGTGGCAAGGCTCACATTGCCAACGATGAATCTGGCCAATGTACTTTTCTCCTAGATCCTGCTCCACCACACACTGGGACCATTAAGTAGACACGTAAGGGGCAATAAAATGACCACAGTCAGCACTGCCCTCTGCCACTCGGCAAGGTGCTGAGCAGCTCTTAGAGTGGTGCAAAACACCCTCCAACACACACCAATGGGAGTTGAAGGAGTTGCCTTCAACTTAGGTTAGTACTTAGAGTTAGTTAGTACTTCAACTTAGGAGGTACTTAGAATCTTGCAGGATCTAGCCCTGAGGGCTTGTCTGGACTAGGGAAAGCCACTAGACGAGGGTAATTACATCAGTGTGGTTACACCATTGCAACCTTCTAAAGTACAGGACACCGAACTGCTACAAAACAGGGCTTATCCTGGGGTAAGTCACACAACTGCGAGCCCCACTTTTAGGCCATGGCAGGTAACAAGAAAGCCATTCTAGACAGGGCCTAAATGATCTGCCACTCCGGGATGATGGCACCTGCCATCAGGGTTATAAGCTGTACTCCACAAGCGCAAAACGCTCCTTAACAAGTGAAATGCAAGATGAGAATTGTCAGTGTAAGAGACAGAAAAGCCCACATGAATGATGCAGCTTCAGACAGAGCCAGCAGAGGCTGGGATCGGTACTGTTCGGCCGAACTTCAGTGGCCTGAGCTATCTCCCCCTAGAGGCCAATGCAAAAAGGCTTCCCTAGCCTGAAATGGCACTCAAAGTAACATGGCACAATCCCACATCAGTCGAGCAGTATCCTGGAGCCAGGCGGGGGAGTTAAATTTGCCGGGCCTGAAGCTCACATGGGCTTGCAACATTTTACAAGGTGCTTGTCCTTCTTGCCAGGCCCCTTCACCAATAAGGCAGCCTCTGACTAGAGGGCCACTGAACTCTAGTTGCCAACTCCATGCTAAAGCCCTCAAATGCACTCCCTGTGTACAAAGGCTCACAGTGCTGTGACTGAAGGCAAAACTAGATTCCTAAAGGAGAGTTAAGTACTGGGGCCGAGGGCCTATCAGATAAGACATGAAAGGAGGAAAAGGAGATTGAAGGAGCTGAGCCACTGCCCTTCCTTGGTACTACAGGGAGGTTATCAGATCTGATGTGCAGACTTCAGGCTAACCAGACTCCCGAGCACACACCGGGAGCTTACTTTCAGTAACTGTAAGGCACTATTAAGAAGAGTAACTTCCAGGGAAGTTCAGCCTAGGACTAGATCCTGCTGCTCCGTTCAGGCTGGAGTGCAGCGACTTTCCAACCTCTCTTTTAGTCTAAAGACCAATGGAGCGCTCACCACGGGAATGCTGCAGCTCCATGGCCACGGCCACAGACAGCTCCAGCCCGTCTCCTAGAAATATGGAGCTCACTTCTAGCACTGGAGCTGGGATTATCATGGGTCTTAACCCCTTTGGGGAAAAAATCATATCCAGCTAGTGAATCCTTTTATTAAACCCAGCTGTCTGGGTTGGGGCTTTAGTCTAAGAAATTGCAGAGGAAGCGGGGGGCAGGGTGTGGAATCCCGGTTGGGAGGGAAGACATAACAAGGGCTGCTAACGAGAGCAGGCTGTGATGGTGGGTTTTGAGACGTGGGCCACTGCCCACGAATACACAGCCCCCTAACTCATGTCATGTGGGCCACTGGAGATGCCAGCTAGTGGTAACGTCTCGTCCTCCCTAACCTGGCTTGGATTCCTGTAATGAAGTGGTGAACTCATCGAAAGATCTCTCCTGCAGCACCAGCCTCTCAGGACAAGGGACGGGCTCAAGCACAAATACGCTAGATTACCTATAACAGCCACTGCCTCTAATCTGCATAGCTGCCATGAAACATTACCATCCTTTGTTTTCATAGCCTGTGTCACTTAGAAACCCCCCTCCGCCCACAATGCACAGAATAACGTAGCATCTCTGCCTTTCCTTGTGACTATTCCTGTGGCTGACTCACTGTGTGAAATAGCCCGCTGGCCAATCTCAAAGGGAGTCTAGTTCCCGTGCCTCCGTGCATCTCTGTGTGCCCATGCCTTGTGCCATTTTCCCAGAGGATGATGATTTGGGCTGAAAGTTCCATTTCGGTGGTTAGAGCAGGGTTACCAAAGGGTTGGTCTACACTGCAATCAGAGGGGTGTGACGGCAGCACATGTAGGCATGCCCAAGGCTAGCTTTGATCTAGCTAGATCCAATAACAACAGAGGTGAGGCTACGGCAGTACAGACTAGCTGTTTGAGCACCTCATCAGGACCCTGGATGGGCTTGCAGAGCCCGTGCCCCTGCAGTTTCACTGCGAGCGTTCATCAAGCTAGCTAGCTCAAAGCTATCTCAGGTACGTCGACGGGTGACGCAGTGACACCTCTGACAGCACTACAGACGTCCCAAAGCGTGCAATGTGGCAACCCTTATCTTTACCACAGATGCGTAGCAAGCAAAGACTACAGCTCCCAGCATGCTCTGTTCCTTCCTTCTCCCAGCAGAAAGCCATGCTGGACAGCACTGCATGCTGGGACCTGTAGTCTTTTCAGGTTGTTTCAGCAGCATCCTAAAGAGGGGCGGAACCCTGATTAAACATTTCGCATAGGATGCATCGCGGACAAGTTCCTGACTAATAGCCAGAGGCAAAGCTAAAAGTGCTGCCTCACGAGACAAAAACACCCAAAAAAACCTTACTGCTGCTGTGAGGAACTAGTGGAAATGGCTTGATGGAGCTGAGCGTGAGTTGTGCACTTCGTTAGTCTAACGTAATTGCACGAAACATGCAGGTACACACAAAAGCGGGAAGACATTGTGGCAAGGGCTACCCTCATACAATAGTGCACTAGGCGGCAGAGGTAAACAATGCCTCGTGAGGTGGGAGGAGGAGTCTGAGCAGGGCTTGGGAAACACTAAAGCCATGGAACGAGGAGGGAAGGAAGAGCCGTTTGTCTACACCCTGATTGAACGCTGGCACGCCAAGCTGCCTGGGAGCTTGCTGTGGCCCAGAGCACCTGTCCTTTTGACGGAAGGCTGACGGGCTCATCATAAAACCATGGGGCGGTAAAAAAACGAAAGAGAGAGAATTAACCGCCTCCCTCCTTCTCCCGGCATCATGCGAACAAGCAGCCCGCTGGGCACCCCCTGCGTGGCAGAGCAGTCCGTGCACACGCTGGCCTAGTTGTTCGAATTGACCCGCCCGGCTGGGAACAGGGGAGGTGGAGGCGGCAGGTGCGGAGGAGGAGGCAGGGGGTGGAGCAGCGGCAAAGGGAGGGCGTGGGGGTGCTGCGCCAAGTGAGGCAAGGGGGCACCCTGGGGAGTGGAGAGGCTGCCGCCATTGTTGGCGGGGTTGGCGGTGTCCGAAGCCAGGGGGTTGCTGACCCGGAAGCACTTCTCCTTGTGGGCCTTGAGCATGTTGGAGAAGCGGAAACGCTGGCCGCACACGTCGCAGGGGTAGGGCTTTTCTCCCGTGTGGGTCCGGCGGTGGCGCTTCATGTTGGGGCGGCTGGTGAAGCTCTTGCCGCAGATCTCGCAGATGTAGGGCTTCTCACCTGGGGGATGAGGGGATGGCTGGTTCAGGGACCGCTCCCACCTCTGCGTGGGGGTGCCCATCTCCCCCTCAATGGAGGGCTTGGCCCTCGCCACCCATAGCCTCCCCCACTTAGCTCGGGAGAGCTGGAGTTCCCCCCAAGCCCATCAATGCCATTCCCAGCTCACCAACAGAGCCCAGACTGGGGAGCTCCCTCCCCGGCTAGGAGGTTAGTTCCTCCTCTCCGTAGGGTGGATGAGTAATCCGAAGCTCCATTTCCCACCTACAGCCAGATTTGCGCTGGGCCTGCTTATGATCACCCAGCCCTTCGACGGGAGCAGCAGGGCTATCCCGGGATCTCATTGGCTATAGCTCCTAGGCATCGCTAATGTTCCCATCTCATTATTATCCAGGTGCCAGTGAACAGCCCATCGCAGAACAGAACCTGACCCGACACACTGGAATTGGGGCGGGGGGGAAGGGGAGTGTTAGGATATAGATATTCATGCCTGTCTGCAAAGGCCTGTACTTTAAGAATTTAGGTGTATTCTTATCACTTGGCTAGTTATAGAGGCATAAAAGAAAGAATCAAAATCACTGTCTGCCAGTGTAAGCTCCTTCTCTTACTGCGACAGTCTGAGGCCCTGTTCTTAGGCTAAGGCCTTTGGCTAAGCAGCAGAGGCAGCCATAAGCTGGGAAGCGACCGGTCACCTCCTCACATTCCAAACTAGTCACATTGAAAGAAGGTGCTTTTGGGCTCTTAGGAATACAATCCTGTCCTGATAGTGCCTATCACCTCCAGAGAAAGGGAAGTGCTTAGAAAATCATAAAAGAAAACTTAGTTTGATAGCATCCTGTCTGGCAAGAACTCACTTATCAATAGCTGGGATGTGAAATCCTCACTTCTGTATTGTTTTGTCATTACAGTTCCCACTTTGCTATTGTTTGTCTGTATAATCTCTGTCTGGTTCTGTGATTGTTCCTGTCTGCTGTATAATTAATTTTGCTGGGTGTAAACTAATTAAGGTGGTGGGATATAACTGGTTACATAATCATGTTACAATATGTTAGGATTGGTTAGTTAAATTTCAGGAAGTGATTGGTTAAGGTATAGCTAAGCAGAACTCAAGTTTTACTGTATAGTCTGCAGTCAATCAGGAAGTGGGGGGGGGGGAGTGTGTGTGGGGAAAATGGGAACAGGGAATCGGGGTTGGTGTGTGTGGGGGGGAAATGGGAACAGGGAATGTGGGTAAGGAAATTGGAATCATGTTTTGCTAAAGGGGGAAATGGGAACAGGGAATGGGAGTAAGGAAGTTGGAATCATGTTTGGCTAAGGGTAGGAATGGGAACAGGGACACAGGTGTAAGGCTTTGTGGTGTCAGAGCTGGGAAGGAGGATACTAAGGAAGGAAACTGGAATCATGCTTGCTGGAAGTTCACCCCAATAAACATCGAATTGTTTGCACCTTTGGACTTCGGGTGTTGTTGCTCTCTGTTCATGCGAGAAGGACCAGGGAAGTGAGTGGGTGAAGGAATAAGCCCCCTAACAGGGAGCAGCAAAGATATTCCTTGCTCCACATCCCAAGAGGTTCTTGGGGGAGGCAGAAGCTAAAGCAGGGTGCCCCCGATACCTGGGGGTGGGGAAGTGGGATGTCGGGGGAGTTCTCACCTGTGTGCGTTTTCATGTGCTCATCGAAGTACTGTTTCATGTTGAAGTCCTTCCCGCACCACTGGCACATGAACTGCTTGTGTCCGATGTGGATGCTCATGTGAGAGCGCAGCTGGTACTTGTACTGGAATCGCTCATTGCAGTTCTGGAAGGGAGAGGAGGAAGTGAGAGACAAAGGCAGGTGGCTGAACAGCAATAGCCCAGAACAGGAGTGGAGAGGTTTTCAGCTGCAGCAGTCTCTCACTCATTCAAGCTCAGTCATGGGTGGTGATCTCTGTTTTACAGAGGGGAAACTGAGGCGCTGAGGGATTAAGTGACTTGCCCAAGGTTCACGAGGAGTCAGTGGCAGAAGAGGGACTCCTAGATATGAACTAAATTTTATCATGACCCATTCCAAATAACTAGGCTTATGAGCAGGGGCCAAACCCTGATGCCTTTACTCAACTTCTATTAAGCCCTTGCTCGGTTTTTATTAAGACCTCTCCTAAAAAGACTTGAAGATTAATAGGTCAAATAATAATTCAGCCATGCATAGTGCACTAAATCCTGAAAGGGCTCCAGCTTCCCAGAAAGAATCCCTCTTGGGCTGAGCTAAAAGCGGAAGGGGCTCGCTGACCCACGTACGATCCCGTCTGAGAGCCTAGGTACGTACTCAGGTGGCTTGCCCCTTCTGCCGTTTGTGCTTCCACGGATACACTTCACACGCTAGCTCCATCAGAGCTAGCATGGCAATGGCTGCTCAAGGTGGACATTACACCTTCCGACTCCAGGGTGGACATACCCAGAGAGCCTGCTGACGTGCACCATCCTAAATCAGCAGATCAACTGATCCTACGGGAAAATATCCTGGGGGGTGGGGAAGATGGGGAGGTAGTTTTAAGAGGTGGCGGTGGATGGAAAGGTATATAAATCCCATTTCCAAAGCTACCGCTGCAAGATTATTCTTCTGCTTTCAACTCACACTGGTACCCAAATGGCTTAGTCTGCGCTGGCTGTAGAGTGGTTTGTAAGCTCCTCAGGGCAGAGATTTTGTCTGCTTATTGGTTTGAGCAGCCATAACCACATGGAGAAGCAGTGTTTTACTGATGTCAGGACCATTTAAGTAACAACTGGGTGGGTCATTGGCAGGGATTGAACCTAAGAGCTCTGGATCTAAAAGCACTAACCTCGACTGCCTGAGCTATTGGACCTGGTCCATTAACTTAAAGGAAGGAGTCCATAACTGCCTATATGTCATCCAGCCGCTAGAGAGGGGACAAAGATCCTGGTATCAATGTGGGTTACACCAAAACTCCTAAAACAAAAAGAGGGCAGTTGCGCTAACCTCTGTAGATTGTCCCACTCGATGGGATTGCACTTAAGCACCAAAGTTGAGATCAGAGCAGTAACAGGGAAACATAAGCAACTATTAGCACAGGCACTGCGATCTAGAGCAAAGAGGAAGCCCTGCACTAAGCACCACAAGTTCTTAATTCAAACAGTGTTATGTTTATTACCATTTAAAAAAAAAACATTATGGAGAAGCACGGTAGAGCGCCAGAGCGAAGAGGCCTCCAGCGCGGGGCTCTCTTTGCATCCACCCAGTAGCAACTGCATAGGCAGAGGTGGTGCAAACTATCCCCAGTGCTGCCTTCTCAAGGTGCTTCAACACAGAGCCAGGAGGACCCACTCAGTGGGCGAGACGGTCATTCAGTCTTGTGCCCATTCAATCCTTGGCTCCCTCTGCTCATTCAGGCAATGAGACCATAAGAACGGCCACACTGCGTCAGACCAAAGGTCCATCTAGCCCAGTATCCTGTCTTCCGACAGTGGCCAATGCTGGGTGCCCCAGGGGGAATGAACAGAACAGTTAATCATCAAGCGATCCATCCCCTGTCACCCATTCCCAGCTTCCGGCAAACAGAGGCTAGGGACACCATCCCTGCCCATACAGGCTAATAGCTATTGATGAACCTATCCTCCATGAATTTATCGAGTTCTGTAGCTCACGAAAGCTTAAGCTCAAATAAATTTGTTAGTCTCTAAGGTGCCACAAGTCCTCCTTCTTTTACCCTGTTATAGTCTTGGCCTTCACAACATCCTCTGGCCAGGAGTTCCACAGGTTGACTGTGTGTCGTGTGAAAAAATACTTCCTTTTGTTTGTTTTAAACCTGCTGCCTATTAATTTCATTTGGTGACCCCTAGTTCTTGTGTTATGAGAAGGAGTAAATAACTTATTTACTTTCTCCACCAGTCATGATTTTATAGACCTCTATCATATCCTCCCTTAGTCATCTCTTTTCCAAGCTGAAAAGTCCCAGCCTTATTAATCTCTCCTCATATGGCAGCCGTTCCATACCCCTAATCGTTTTTGTTGCCCTTTTCTGAATCTTTTCCAATATATCTTTTTTGAGTTGGGGTGACCACATCTGCACACAGTATTCAAGATGTGGGCGTACCATGGATTTATATAGAGGCAACATGATATTTTCTGTCTTATTATCCATCCCTTTCTTAATGATTCCCAACATTCTGTTCGCTTTTTTGACTGATGCTGCACATTGAGGGGATGTTTTCAGAGAACTGTCCACAATGACGCCAACATCTCTTTCTTGAGTGGTAAGAGCTAATTTAGACCCCATAGTTTTATATGTATAATTTTCCAATGTGCATTACTTTGCATTTATCAACACTGAATTTCATCTGCCATTTTGTTGCCCAGTCACCCAGTTATGAGAGATCCTTTTGTAGCTCTTTGCAGTCTGCCTGGGACTTAACTGTCTTGAGTAGTTTTGTATCATCTGCAAATTTTGCCACCTCACTGTTTACCCCTTTTTCCAGATCATTTATGAATATACTGAATAGGACTGGGCCCAGTACAGATCCCGGGGGACACCACTCTCTCCATTCTGAAAACTGACCATTTATTCCTACCCTTTGTTTCCTATCTTTTAACCAGTTACCGATCCATGAGAAGACCTTCCCTCTTATCCCATGACAGCTTACTTTGCTGACGAGCCTTTGGTGAGGGACCTTGACAAAGGCTTTCTGAAAACCTAAATACACTATATCCACTGAGGGTAGCGACTAGTGCCAGTTGTGGTGCTGATTTTGTGGCATGGATGCCTGTCCAATAAGAACTGGGCAAAGATCCCTCATAAAACAGCCAGTGGTTGTGGACTGGTGACCTGGGAGGTGTAAACCTCTGTATCTCAATACCAATCCCCAAAACATCCCGCTGCTTTCCTCCACGAAACACAGGAATTGCCAAGCTGGATCAGTCTCACGGTCCATCTAGTCCAGTATCCTGTCTCCAACAGTGATCAGCACTAGCTGCTTCAGAGGGTACATCAGGTAGGTACTTTATGGGATAACCTGCCCTCCTGGGAAAGTTTCTTCCTGACCCCCAATAGTTACAGGTTGGCTTAAGCCCTTAATTTGCTCCACAGGACAATGAGTGAAAGCTGGTAGCAGACAGAAGTAATGGGATTGTGAGTAAGATGCAGTACTGAGAGCTAGGACTCCTGGGTTCCTTCCCCAGCCTGGCTACTTACTCATGAGAGTCTGGGCAAGTTAGAACCTCTAAAACCTCAGTTTCCCTGCCTGTAAAATAAGCACAGTACTAATGTAACTAGTCTGCTGCCTGCTATGGCTACTGATGGCAAGAGTAGCCATCCACATAGACCATAGCTTACCTGGGCTAGAAGGAGACTGTTGGCTATTCAATTTACACCCAAAATGGGGCAGTGATGAACACTCACACTAGTGATGAGCAGGGATCCTCAAAATCCGTTTGCTCCGGAAAAACACGGAATTTGAATTTTTACAGAGAATCTGGAGGGGCTCAGGCCATCAGCCCCGGACGGCAGGGCTCAGGCCATCAGATTTCATTTTAATCACAGAAAAACCCGGATACGTATGGGGTTTTTTTAGGGCTGTCGATTAATCGCAGTTAACTCATGCAATTAACTCAAAAAAATTAACTGCGATTAATTGCACTGTTAAACAATAGAATACCAACTGAAATTTTTAAAATATTTTTGGATGTTTTTCTACATTTTAAAATATACTGATTTCTATTACAACACAGAATACAAAGTGTACAGTGCTCACTTTATATTATTATAAATATTTCCACTGTAAAAATGATAAACAAAATAATAGTATTTTTCAATTCACCTCATTCAAGTACTGAAGTGCAATCTCTTTATCGTGAAAGTGTAACTTACAAATGTAGATTTTTTTTTGGTTACATAACTGCACTCAAAAACAAAACAATGTAAAACTTTAGAGCCTAAAAGTCCACTCAGTCCTACATCTTGTTTAGCCAATAGCTAAGACTAACAAGTTTGTTTACATTTACGGGAGATACTGCTGATTGCTTATTTACAATGTCATCTGAAAGTGAAAACAGGCATTCGCATGGCACTTTTGTAGCTGGCATTGCAAGGTATTTATGTGCCAGATATGGTAAACATTCGTATGCCCCTTCATGCTTCAGCCACCATTCCAGAGGACATGCTTCCATGCTGATGATGCTTGTTAAAAAAATAATGCATTAATTAAATTTGTGACTGGACTCCTTGTGGGAGAATTGTATGTCTCCTGTTCTGTTTTACCCGCATTCTGCCATATATTCATGTTACAGCAGTCTCGGATAATGACCCAGCACATATTCGTTTTAAGAACACTTTCACAGCAGATTTGACAAAACATAAAGAAGGTACCAATGTGAGATTTCAAAGGATAGATATAGCACTCGACCCAAGGTTTAAGAATCTGAAGTGCCTTCCAAAATCTGAGAGGGAGAAAGTGTGGAGAATGCTTTCAGAAGTCTTAAAAGAGCAACACTCCGATGCAGAAACCTCAGAAACCGAACTACCAAAAAAGAAAATCAACCTTCTGCTGGTGGCATCTGACTCAGATGATGAAAATGAACATGCGTCGGTCCGCACTGCTTTGGATTGTTATCAAGTAGAACCCATCATCAGCATGGACGCCTGTCCTCTCGAATGGTGGTTGAAGCATGAAGGGACACATGAATCTTTATTGCATCTGGCATGTAAATATCTTGCAACACCAGCTACAACAGTGCAATGCGAACGCCTCCTTCTCACTTTCAGGTGACATTGTAAACAAGACGTGGGCAGCATTATCTCCTGCAAATTGTAACCATTCTTGTTTGTCTGAGCGATTGACTGAAGTAGGACTGAGTGGACTTGTAGGTTCTAAAGTTTTACATTGTTTTATTTTTGAATGATGTTATTTCTTGTACATAATTCTCCATTTGTAAGTTCAACTTTCATTATAAAGAGACTGCACTACAGTACTTCTACTAGGTGAATTGAAATATACTATTTCTTTTGCTTTTTACAGTGCAAATATTTGTAATCAAAAATAAATATAAAGTGAGCACTGTACACTTGGTATTCTGTGTTGTAATTGAAATCAATATATTTGAAAACGTAGAAAACATCCCAAAATATTTAAATAAATGGTATTCTATTATTGTTTAACAGTGCGATTAATTTTTTTTCATTGCTTGACAGCCCTAGTTTTTTTTAATTAGAGAATTTTGGGTTTTTTATCACGGAAAACTAGGATCCCTGGTGATGACTAGCCGGTTCATTAGGTATTATATCTTTCCCAGGGGCCTTATGGAAGGCTAAATTAGCCTTTGTTAAGCATATGGCGAGGCTTGGATGACAGAAAGATCCTCTGGGTTACAAGAAATGGAAGAGATTAGTACGAAAGGGTTCAGATGCAGAAGGGCTTCTGGTGGGGGCCAGGCATGAGTGTGTGCTAATTTCAGACTGGAAGTCTCCAGCAGAAAGCAGGTGACTCACCATGTTGAGGGTGTGAGGGGAGGGATTTTTTTTTGTGGAGGGGGTGCCTGCAGAATTTCTTCTCTTACCTCACATTTAAAAGGCTTCTCTCCAGAGTGCTGAAGAGAATGGACTTTCAGGGACATGCTGCGTTTGAATGACTTCCCACACGTCTCACATGTGAACGGCATATCCTTGGTGTGAGCTACAAATGAAGACAAAAAGGCAATAAGGCCTGACGGGGGAGGTGTTACATCATGACCGTAATAGTGAGAACGCGCAGGTGCTCCCGCCAGATGGAGCCTATTGCTGGCACGCCAAAGCAAGGCGATCTGGACTTCGTGCCTCCGAGGGCTGCCATGTGAATGTACGTGAAATGGAGCTACTTAACGTCTGTGTAAGATTAATAGCTGAGCTAGCTCAGAAAGATGGGGCAAATGGCATGAAGTAATTTTTAAAAAACAGTGATAACTTTTATGAAACAATACGCACACCTCCCATAACTCACTGGCCGTGCTGCCTAGCCGCCACTGTATTCTCTGAACATTTGTATTCATCACCCTCTTTCAATATTTATGAAACAAAAAATTATGCTGTCTCCTATTTTGTTTCTTTTTAATAAAGAGTAATAACTACTGTCTTTCAATAAATCCAGATCAAACTTGCTCAGTAAAGAGGTTTTTTCCTAACCAACAGCCCTGAAAACTCTTCCTGGGATCTCAGAGTCCAGCTGGATTCTTTCCTTCTCATGCATATAACGAACGGGCCAAATTTTGCCTGCCCTACTTCCTTTCATGCACCACTGCCCTCAATGACTGAAGAGCAGCCTTTGACCATGTAACTTAATTAACAATCCTGTTGATCATGCACGAGGAGGAAGAGACCCTAGCTCACCCTCCCATAGCTGTGTTGGCTCTGCAGGGCTAACAAGCACCAAAAGCTCGTCCTGCCTCAGTTTCCTCTGACTCTGACTGAGAGCCATTGGAAAGAAAGGGTCACATTTATATAGTCACCTTTCTGAGCAGACCCCCACTTGAATTCTGTATAAGCCACTTGAGACCTGTGACAGATATTACAACTACATGCATCATCTTTGGGGCGGACATATTGTATTTTATGATTAAATCAGGAAAACCTCAAAAAGGCATTCTTTTGAGACGGACCAAACAGTATGAACTATAGACTATTCATAGCCCTCTGCACTGATACAGGCAACGTGTATTTGAGTGTTCTTGGCCTGTTGAGTTGGATTCCTGCAGAATACGGACTCACCAGAGAGTGATTTATGCAAAATCTCAAAACTGGCTATGTAGATTCCCAGCCTTTGAAGCTTGAGCTCCTGGGGCACTGGGGGAGCGACTGATTTTACCCATTTTCAGGAGGCTGGAGACAAAGCAAGACTTCGGGTATAAAAGGTTGAGTTTAAAGAGGCTTCCTTTTGATTCAGCAGACAGACAGGACCTTTGGTCTTAGGGCAGCCCCAAACCTGGTGGAAGGACTGGAAAAACTACCGCTCCCTCCATGTGGAACGCGGGTGATTCCTGGTATGTCTGGTGAGTGTTTAAATCTTTTTATTGGTTGGTATATGTTTTCTTAGTGATGCTTTTGCCCTAAGAATAAATGTACTTTGCTTTGGAAGAGCTGTGTGGTCACCGGTAAAAAAACAACAACCCTGTCATTATCTTTGGAGAGAAACTAAACACCGGGGGACAAGGAGTTTGTCAGATCCGCTGGAGATATCATAGGGTGTGCCAGGGGGCTGTGCAGCCATAAACCGCCAGTCAGAAGGGAGTGGGACCAGGGTCCCTGCCCAGAGACAGGTGATGACTGGAGGCCAGAGACCAGACTGGGCACTTCTGAAGTGGATCTCAGAGGGAAAGTACAGGTGCAGTTACCCTGAAAGTGTGACAACCTGCCAGTACTAAAGATTCACCGTAAGAGTTGCTTTCTTTTAACACTAAATGAGGAACTTTATTAGCATAAGGAAAACAGCACTGTCTCTAAAATGCCCGTCTCTCATCTCCTCCATAAACTAGTTCTGGAGAACACTTACATTTCATTTAGTGCAGGGCAGGGAGAAATTTTTTGGCCATTCTTTTTTTTCAAGCAAAAACGCAGGTTTGACAAGACCCAAACGTTTCACGAATTCAGGTGTCAGTTTTGCTGAACTGTTCATTTGAAAGCAATTCAGAAAAATGAAAACGTTTTGTTTAGACCTTTTTTAACCAAACGGTTTCAATGTTTTGTCTTGAAACAAATTTTATTTAAAAATTTCAAGTACATTAAGAATGGTCAGAATTGAAATGGCTTGATTTTGTCCAATGAAACATTTAATTCAACCGGAATCTATTTTTTCCCGACTTTTCAGAACTGCCACTGAACTGAAAAATCTGTCATTTGCCCAGCTCTAATTTCAGTTTTTTAAGAGATACGTGGGAAACCTCTTCAGCGCAGTATGGGGGTAGGGTTAAACTGCATCTCCATTAAGCGTGATGCCCCTGCGGCCTAAGCACAAACACCCATCCACTCACCAACCATGTGTTTCCGCACATGTGCCATGGTGTAGAATTTCTTCTCACAGATTTCACAGGAGAACTTCTTCTCTGCATAGCCATGGACAATTTTATTGTGTTCGTGGAGAGACCAGAGTTTCTTAAACGCTTTCCCGCATGTCACACACTGCAAGGGAAGAGAGGAATAAGACGGGGCTGAAATATGCCAGAAGGGGAAAATATACAGGGAAAATATACAGCCCCAGCTTACAAAATTAAATGTAGCATCATGGGACAAACTGTCGCCTTACAGTGGGTGGTACAATAGGGGGTGCGGACAGAATTTTTTCACTCTATGCACCTCCCCTGTGCACTCCTAACAATCGCACTCCTCTTGCCCACTTGTGTGATACAAGGTCAACCGTGCTCCAACGGAGAAGGAGAATGCATGGAAGAGCAACACCTCAGCCCAGCCGTTCTGCACCAGCCAATGGGGATGGCTACCACACTGGGGGCGATGTGGTTGTAGCAGAGCAGTTCGGGAAATGGGATAACCGCGGAACATTTTTGACAAAAATGAAAACAAATGAGTTTCTTGAAATTTTCTCTCAGAAAACGGTGACCTTTGGTTGAAAAACCCAGAAGTATTCGTTCGGCTTGAGCGGAACATCCAATCTACGGTCAGAAAAGTTTTGATGGAAAATTCTTGACTGGCCCTCGTTTACAGGGTGCAGCTGAGGGCCTGTGCTGTAGATCCAGATCCTGATGCATGCAGGCTGGATCCCAGGGAGTGGGACATGCGTGGTGGTGGGGCTGGGCATCTGCTGTTGTGTGGATCCTCCCTTTCCTCCCTTGGGCAGAGGACGCTACCATCTTTACTTTAGCAAGCAGAGAGGGAAACAGAGTTACGGTGAACAGACTAAGCAGCAGCATGTGGGTAGGGGGATGGATATCCTAGACCACAGCAAGCCTGGGGTGTCGTTCTGAACGTAAGCCATAGGCTATGTGTCTTCAAACCATCAGCAATGCTGGGGGGAATCGACGCAAAACCCAGTGGTGTTTGCAGGATTGATTAGGACCCTCCTGAGCTTCGCTTTGGATTCAAATGAACCGAAAGATGGAGCAAACCTCAGCCAGAACCTCTTAGACTGGCCTGACTCAGCCTCTCTTTCCTCTTCAGCTTCAGGCTAGTGCCCTGGCTGTACATACTCTAGGGAGGGGGAAGGCAGAGGACGGAGAGAGCCTGGAGACACCCTTCCAGCTGCTAGCTGCACTACAGTGTGGGACTTGCACCAGGACCAGCTTGTCCTTGGGAACTAGATTCCCTGGGGCTGCCTGCCAGCTGGGGATGGTGGTATCCCAGCATGCAATGAGTGCTAGTCTCCTGCTGCATGCAAGCTCCTTGTATTCCCCTGAGGCCCTACCAGCTCCCATGCTGGCTCAGACCTAGCATGAAAGCAGCAGCCATCCCAAAGGAGTCCAGCCAGACATCAGCATCAGCTGGGCGCAGAATCGCCAAGACCATGGATTCTCTGGGGCAGGGACTGTCTGTGTTACCTGCCCATACAGCACCTAACACAATGCGGGCCCTGATCCTTGACTGGGGTTCCAAGGCACGACCGTAATGTAACTAATAACGCTCACATGGCATAACCGCCTATAGCCTCGCAATCAGAGCCCAGCACACGCCCAGGTTTCCTTCGCTGCCTTTCCAGCTAGCATTGGATCACGAAGAACCCCACAAAGTCCTAAATCTGCCTCTTATTACAGCCCTCCTGCAGGAGCAGGCATTGCAGCTCCAGAGTTCATTCACTACGGGACTCGGCTGGAACTGACCTGTCAGGCCCCATGAGCAAGGCTTCACCTTCACCGCACCCCTGAATGCTTTCACGAGGAGCCATCGCTGCGAAGGGGAATGACAGTGTGAATGAGCAGCACCGTCGCTGAGGGCAAGAGCGAGCAGGGCAGGAGTTGACACAGCTTCACCAAACTTTTTCATGACAAGCCCCACTCGTTGCTACAGGACACGCAGGGAGCACTTCGCCCCCACGCTGAATTGCAGCCTTCTCTGGGTTGGGGGATGAGACGTTTAACACAGTATAACACCAGAATACCGATCCCACTTGTCACTGGAGGAGGGATTTACGGAGGCTGAATATAGTTAGCTCAGGGGAATCTGACCAAAAAGCTGCCTTGGGATCATTAATGGCCAGTCGGCTACAGCTTCAGTTTTATGTCACATTCAGACGAGGGCCTCTCTCAGCACAATGACCCTACTGCCATGCTTGGGCGCTGGCTCAGCACCAACCGCCCAGAGAAGATTGCCCCTCTTGGATTACCACACCACTCCCTGCGGCTCCTCTGTCTCTTGGAGATCTACTGCTGCTCAACAGGGAAGAGCGAAGATACGAGCTGCCCCACCGCATCAGTTGCTCAGGGTGCTGAGCACACACACATCACCCTGCTCCACCCTGCTCAGGAACGACATGCATTTCCCCACTAGCCCTACCCAACAGTCAGTGGCTCACAGAGCCATAACCTGGCTCTAGTTCTCTCTGCTCCGTTTCCAGGCGATAAACTTTCCAGGGGGAAAGAGCTACCCCTTGGAATAGGCAAGTCACAGGACTGCTAAGGAATCGCTGACTTCGGATGATCAAGCATCCCAGTGTCCTGTACACACCTTTACCAGGAAGGAGTTAGAAACAGGATAGTGCCGCTTGCTATAATCCCTTCGCTGTGTTTACCCAGCAGCAATGATTTACTGAGACACAAGGACACAGCGCCCCTTCACATTTCACAGGCAGCAGTTCTCTTTTATTGGCCTCCCAAGTCCCTCTCCTTTTGCTAATCCCCACCCCTATCTCGTCCCCTAAGCTTGTATCCGTCACATTCCACGAGGAGACTGACTGCAAATTTGGTTTCAAGACCCGTTTAACAAGCACAGCTCAACGCACGGCCAAAACTGCAGGGATTAACCCACTCTCTGCTTCTCACGGTACCAGCTCAGTCCGCTTCCGCTGCCACGCCACCTCTGGCCGCCAGGGCTGGTGAGAACAGAAGCTAAACGGGGTTGGACGTGGCCAGCATTTGGATGGGAAACCCCCAAGGTTTTGGATGGGAAATCCCCAAACCCCAAGGTCTGGAGACTGCTGAAAGACGTGACAAAGTACTGACTCACCAAGGTAATCAAAGCCCCAGCAGAGGGGGCACATGCTGTAATTTGGATGGGGCTTGTAAAATCAAACATATGTGGTCACTGAAGACCCCCAGGGCACTTTGTGTAATCACCGATGTGGTAAATCTAGCATCCGGGCTTCACTCCAGTTTTGGCCATTTTATTCTGTCAATCCCAGTGTATCTGCATTCTCAGTGTGGAGGGAAAACTGTTCTCCCTTTCCTGCCCAACTCGCTCGACATCCGTTAGCCATGTGTGTAAAGTGTTGTGGGATCCGTTCAGGGCTGGTATCAGATGTGTCTGCTGCTTCAGTTCCCCATATTTCTCCCAGGATCTTCAACAGGCCTGCACGCTACCCGAGTGCTTTCACAGCTCGTCTTCAGCAGTTCTGCGCTCTAGCCACAAGGCGTAGCTCAGCCCTTCCCGAGAACGAGCTTTCCTTCCCCTACATTAGCTAGCAGCACTGTATACGTCCAAAGCAAAGTTCCCACTGACTTCAGACTGGGCGTGCTCAGCACTTCGGCAAGTCACGCCCCAAGTGTCTGAAGGTGGACAACCCAGAAAGAAAGAACTAAAGACAACACAATGGCCACCTGGGAAGTTTGGTTTAAGTGACTTGCCCAGCATCAAGTAGTAACTCAGTAGCAGAGGCAGGGACTGATTCCAATTCTTCAGGGCAGCATCTGCCTTAGCCACAAGACCCTCCTTTCTCTTCCTGCAGTCCCCTACCTCATTCACTACACAACTTCTGCAGCTTCCGGATGTCCCACAGAGAACAAACTCATTAACTACACAATCCCAGTTATGCTCCGAGCACTGTCCAGCAGATTCGTATTATTCAGAAAGCCATTTTCTTGTTGAAAAAAAATGTCACCCGCATGTTTTCAATCAGCCCTACTCTCTAACCTCCTTCCTGTTAGATACTTGTACTTTCCCCAACCTGGCACAACGTCACAACACTCTTCATATTCCACAATGCTATTCCCCTCAATCCACAGATCAAAGAACTGAACGTCTCACTGCTGTACAAGCTTTGCATCACTGTCAGACACAGAAAGAACATAAATTCGCTCAAAATACTTATTTTACCACAAAAATGCACAAAAACTTCTATAGATTTTCACTAAGATTTTAAAATAATGGCTCAACTGTACAAGAAAACAGTACCAGGCAAAATCCTTCACATGCACAATAGTTTGTACGTAGATTTATAAAATAGATTAGTTTAAATTCAAACTAATCAAAATATTTGCCTGAAAATTCTCAGAAAAGTGGCAATTTTGGTTGAAGTCCAGCACTCAAATGTTAGGAAATGCCAGAATTAAGGTTGTCTGTACAATTTTAATTCTGTTCCCTTGTGCGTATGCATTATGATACAATCTTTAATTACATGATCATCTACCATTTTTCCATGGGACTTCTGCCTTATTGAGTATGTCTACACTGGAACAAAAGACGAGCAGCATGGCCGCTGCTGGCCCGTGTCAGGTGACTCATGCTCAGGGCTCAGGCTGTGGGGCTAAAAATTGCTGTGTAGACATTCCGGTTCAGGCTGGAGTCTGGGCTCTGGGACTCTTCCCTCTCGTAGGGTCCCAGGGCTCAGGCTCCAGCCTGAGCCCAAATATCAACACTGCAATTTTACAGCCCCGCCACCCAAGCCCTAGGAGCCTGAGTCAGCTGACACAGGCCAGCTACGGGAGTTTAACTGCAGTGTAGACATACCCGGGGTTACAATATTAAGGCAGCTGAATGCTGCCCTGGAAATTGGATTCTATCCCTGCACAGTTCCTATGTGATGCTGAACAAATCACTTCAATCAAACTTTTCACAGGCAGCCACTAATTGCGTGTCCTCATTTTCTGGGTTCATCTTCAGATTGGCAGAAGTGTTGAGCGCCCACAGTTGCCAGTGAAGTCAGTGGGAGCTGTGCCCTAAACACATAAATTGCTATTTAATGCAAAGTACTCTGAAAAATCAGGTCCTAGCTGCCTCAGTCTGGTTGCCCAAAATCACTGAAAACTTTTAACCTTAATCTCGCTCTGCCTCAATGCCCCATCTGTAAAATGGGAATAATACCATCCCTTCACCTCCCAGGGGTGATGGAAAGATAGACTGGTGACTGTCTGTGAAGCACTTGGATAGACAGTGATGCGGGCCACAGAAAAGCCCATAAGGGCATTAATGATTTCATCTTCATAGCAGGGTTTGAATAGTGTGCAGTAAAATAACACAGGGGTGCACTCTGAACAATGAGGAGAAAACCAAATATTGAATAACTATCCTGTGCACGGAATGAGGCAAAGGTCCTGTGGAAAAAAAATGGTATCTGATCATCTAAAAAGATTGTACCATAATGCATACATGCAAGGGGCTGAATTAAGGTTGCACAGGCAACCTTAATTCTGACATTTTCAAATGATGGAGATTGCAACTGTAATATTTTAATATTAATATTTTAATTAATAATTTAATATTAATATTTTAGGTTTTTGTGTGTGTAATTCATACAGTACACTGAAGTTTAAATTCTGCTTTAAGTTCAGTTTCAGGACCTTAGGACCAGGTTCGGATATTCAAACTCACATTGAGCAGTGCCTTACTCCACGAGTGGATGCAAATGGGTGTGAACCTTAGCTGGTGGAGCTGATGTAGCTATTGACTTCAGTGGAGCGATGTTGACTTACAACAGGTGACAATCTGGCCTGCTGACTTCAATAGGAACGCTTGGGATAAACTACTCTTCAACCTGAGTAAGGATACCAGAACGTGGCCCATAACTAGGGCTCCGTGTCTGTCATGGAGGTTGTGGGAAGTCACGGATTCTGTGACTTTCTGCGACCTCTGTGACTTCTGTTGCGGCCAATGCGGCTGAACCCAAGCAGCAGGCTCTGGGGACCACCTGAGCAGCGATCTCCAGGGTGGCCAGAATAGCGCTACCCTGGCAGCCCCGGCCACCGGTGTCATGGCTGGCCCTGCCTCTCCCCCCAGCAGCGACTCCCCAGTGCGCCTGCCCCCCCGCCACAATTTAGTCAAGGATATTTATAGTCTAAGTCATGGACAGGTCAGGGCGTGAATTTTTGTTTATTGCCTATGACCTGTCCATGATTTTACTAAAAATACCTGTGACTAAATCGCAGCCTTACCCATAACTATGGACCATTTATTTTTTCTCCTTCTGATGTGGCTTCTCCATTGTGGGAGGTTCGCAACCATGGTGGGCCTATACTGAGCCTCCCTATTTCCCCCAGAAATATTGACACAAGAAGTTGGTTATAAGCAATGTTATTTATGCTTGGAGTGAACCTATCTTATTTTAAGCCTTCTGCACTCCTATACTTCCTGCATCTTTTACGCCAAGTCCTTATCCCTCAGTATCCCTCACACGTGGGTAGTGGAAGGGCAAGAGTTTGAATTTTAGGCAGCTTCACCAACCTCATGGCCCATAGCTATAGTTTTAGGGATAACCCACACAAAATCAGACCTGGATTAATTTAAAAAGAAATCACTCAAGCACTGGAAGGATAACATGGGACCGTCTAGGGTTTTCTTATCTATATTAAAAAAAATGACATTTGTAAGATGATGTCAGTTCAACATGGATTAGAAGATTCACTGGAGAATTTTTTAAAAATGCTTAACCAATGAAGCTGCAGCATTCAGTATTATTAAACTTTTCCTGGATTCTGATTGGTTCATGTCACCTGTAACGTTCCAATGTAGCAGCCAGCCAATAAATTACTCTTAAAGAAGAAAAAAAAAGGAGTACTTGTGGCACCTTAGAGACTAACAAATTTATTTGAGCATAAACTTGAGCTGTAGCTCATGAAAGCTTATGCTCAAATAAATGTGTTAGTCTCTGAGGTGCCACAAGTCCTCCTTTTCTTTTTGCAAATACAGACTAACACGGCTTCTGTTCTGAAACCTGTCTTAAAGAAGAGTTGGTCTACATTAGAAAAGTTGCATTTGTTTAACTGAATCTATTTTAAGAATCCATTAAATCTAGTTAAATTGGTACAAACCTCTAAAGCAGACATACTTAAAGTGATTTCAAAAAGGATTAAACTAGGTTAGCTGAATTCAGAAATGCGTCGACACAAAAGCTAAACCGATGTACAGCAAGAATTAAAGCTGTTTTATGTCACGCAGCAAATTTCCAAATTAAGCTAAATCAATTTAAGACAGGGTTAAATTGGCTGACGTGTGTCTATGTTAGGAGTTTGTGTCAACGTAACTGGATTGATTGACCGATGTTTAAAATCAATTTGAATAAACTGGTGCAACGTTTCTACTATAGACAAGGCCTAAGTACATAAAAGTACACGTATAAAAATGACAAGAAACGTTAGATAAGTACCTATATACAGTAGCATCATGGATTATCCGAACTGATTGAGTGACACTGCATGTATTTGGGTAAATTGGGAGGGAATATCGGAAACAGACCTGCTAGCAGTTCCTTGGATCAGGGCATTTGGATACAAGGGTTGTGCTGTGTGTGTGTTGGGAGGGGGCTGTGCTCTGTTTGTGGGGTTATGCTGTGTGTGTGTGTACACACGTATGTATACACAAAGAAATCAGCTTTACTTTTTCCTCACGTCTACATACTAAACAACCCTGATAAAATCCTTGGTCATTACTGCTCGAGGTTCCAATTGTACCAGACAAACCCATTGCTGCCCAGACACTCACACCGGTAGATAAGGAATTTCCTTGTGTCTCAGTGTAACACTCTGGGGGTCAGGGGGCAGTGACTGCAGAACAGGAGAGAAATGCTTGAGTGGTTTGGGGTAACAGAAACCCAGCGTTTTCCTTGATTCCCTGTTGCTCATATTTCACGTTTACACAATAACATGAGGATGCACACCACTGTCCACTCGCTGCAGTGCTGCAATTTAGTTTCTTTCCAGAAGTTGGCACTGCAGTTCTACAACTGACATTTGTCAACACCCTAAAGCAGTTTTCAGAGTAACAGCCGTGTTAGTCTGTATTCGCAAAAAGAAAAGGAGGACTTGTGGCATCTTAGAGACTAACCAATTTATTTGAGCATAAGCTCTCGTGAGCTACAGCTCACTTCATCGGATGCTCAACCTTTCCAAAGTACTGTCCCCTTTTCAGGAGCCTGCTTTGTCATGTGTACCCCAAATTTCACCTCACTTAAAAACTATTTGCTTACAAAATCAGAAGTAAAAATACAAAAGCGTGACAGCACACTATTACTGAAAATTGCTTACTCTCTAATTTTTACCATATCATTATAAAATAAGTCAATTGGAATATAAAAATTACTTACATGTCAGTGTATACTATATAGAGCAGTATAAATAGGTCATTGTCTGTAGGAAATTTTAGTTTGCATTGACTTCGGTCGTGCTTTTTATGTAGCCTGTTGTAAAACTAGGCAAATGTCTAGATGAGTTGATGTACCCCCTGGAAGATCACTGGGTACCCCTAGGGTACGTGCGCTCCTGGTTGAGAGCCACTGCCCTAAAGTAAGAGAACTCCCGTGGGTCTGATGTCGGAGTGGTGGGATGTTTTCTGGTGGGAACTTTTCTGGTGTCAGAGCTATGGATCTGCAATGCCACTGTTAACACGGGCTTCAAACACACTGGCGCCAGCCATTCATCACAGCCTTAAGTCTCCTAGATTTCTATGCCATATTGTCTCTGTGCCCACAGCCTGCCCTCTATAAGATGCCACACCAGTGCTCTCTGACACTAGGCCAATCCTTTAATCCTCATTATGAGCCCCTCTAACAGCATTTCAGGGCATGTAGCTTCCAGGATTCTTTCAATTCCCTACCCGCTACCCTCACCCCCATGTTTATATTTTTATTCCTGCCACTCAAAGACCCTGTTATTTAGGGACATCCCCACCCCCCAGCCCTCCAAGTCTTTCAGTCAGGAAAACTGGACAGAGCCCCACCTCTGCCGGCCCTTGTTTAAAATACAAAGCTCTCCAGCAATAGCTCAGAAGGCTATAGTAACCCCACAGGACACAGCAGTATCCTGGGCCACGCCTCTACTTTACCTCAGTGTTTTTGTTCCTGTTATAAGGTGGTCAGAGCCATGCAGTGTAGATCACTTATTGCCTCTCCTCCGCACCCACTAGGGATCGGGCTGTGCTGGGTAACTGGGAGCTAAAGTGAGATCTGGTACCACTAGAGCCCCAGGACAACACACACAAACCCCACCAGCCGCAACCTCAGAGTACTTGGAGCATCACTTGAGGCTCTGTTGGGAGGGTACCATGCCCAGTCCCCGCATACTTCTGGCATGTCACCAGGCGGTGGCACAGAGCGCCCGGGCCCCTCTGCAGCACTCTGGGGCCAGGCGGGGCATGACGGCGGCTCACCTGGATGTTCTTCTCGCAGTCCGTCTGGTGGTGCAGCAGGAGCTCGCTCTCCAGCAGGAAGCGTTTGCCGCACTTGTCGCAGATCTGCATGCGGCTGTGGGTGACGTTCATGTGCTTCTCCAAGTACCAGCGGTTGTTGAAGACGCGGGGGCACTTCTTGCAGGGGTATTGCTGTTTCTCCTCCAGCTTGACTTTCGGGCCCAGCCCATCCTGCTCCTTTTTCCTCTTCCTCCCACGCTGGCCCTCCTCTTCCTCCACCACCTTGGCTAGATCCTGGGACCTGGTGGACATGGTGGACTTGGTGGCCTTGGACGACCTGCTCCCCCTGCGGGGCTGCCCAGATTTTTCCCTTTTCACTTCAGACGCCTCTTCGTCTTCCTCCTCTTCCTCCTCCTCCTCGGTGGTCTCCTCCAGGTCTTCCTCTTCGCTGTGCTCCTCCTCTTCCTCCTCCCCCACCTCAGCATCCTCCTCCTCCTCCCCCACTTCCTCATTCTCCTCCTCCCCTTCCTCCTCAGTGTCACGTCCATCCCCGTCTGGTCGGGTGATCACGGCGGCAGCTTCATTGGCGGTGGGCTTCCCTTCCGTCCCCTTGGAGACATTGAGGGTTTGGTTGTTGAGGTTCACCTCCACAATGATCTGCTCCCGGTTGTAAGAGCCCTGGCTGTCCAGATCCTCCTCCGACTCCCCACCCTCTATTTTACACATGGTGGCCAGGCCACCGTCCTTCTCCTCCTTGTAATACTGCTTGGCAGCCACAGTCGGGAGGTGCTGGTTGGCACCTCCACCCACCCTGTCCTCTACTCGCACCGAGTAGGGATCGGTACCTTCCCGGGCATAGATCTTGGGGTGCGGAGAGTCCACCTCTTGCTTAATCTCGCAGTAGTACCGCGGGGGGACGGCGTTGCCGCAGGCGTCGGGGGGCAGGGCCATGTCGCTGGCCATGGCCAGGCTGAGGGACCTGGTGTTGATGAGCTCCTGGCAGGAGGAGGCGATGTTGCTCATCTGCAGCACGGTGGCGGCGCTCAGGACGTCCTGCACATTGCAGGCGTTCACCAGCAGCTTGGAGGTGTAGATGAAGTTGAGGATCTGCTGGAGGCCTTGGGAAGTCAAGGCCTCCAGGGAAAGCTCTACCCGCTGCAGCTGCTTATTCTGGGTGAAGAGAGAGTGGAAGAACGGGCTGTAGGCGGCAAGGACACCCTTGTGGGCGGGGAAGATGCTCTTCTGCTGAACTAGGACGATGTCCACGTCGCACAGGTCCGGCTGAAACAGGCGCTGCTCGTTCAGTCTGTCCATCAAACACGTGAAGTGGAGGGCTACATCCTCCACCAGAGAGTATTCAGCGGAAGGGTAGTCAGTTGTCTTTTCAACTATCAGCTGCAGGGAGAGAGAAGAAAGGAGATGCAAGAATTCAAGACTGAAAAAAACCTTTCCCTTTAAATGGTCCCTCCTTTCCCTTCCCTCAACAGAAGCTAGATGCCAAGGGAGGCAGCTTAACCTAGTAGTCAGACCACCACACTGATAACAAATACACCTGGCTCTACTCCATGACTGATAACTTCTCCGTAACATGGCCCTGGGCTCCACCACCTCCCCCGTCTGTCCCCTCACAATTGTGAAGAGGGAACAATAATATCTGCCCACTTCCATAAAGTGCTTTGAGATCCCTGGATGACAAGCACATTGCAAGTGTCAGGCTTTATTATGATCCGCTGCCGTGGGTCTTTGACCTGAGAGAATGGGTTGTCCCCATCTCCTTACCCACCCACCCTGTTCTGGTTATCTGTGCAGTCTGAACTTGGGACCTCCGGATTCAAAAGCATGAAGCTCTGCTACCTGAGCTGAAAGCCCAGGTCCATAAATGCAATAGCTGACTCAAACCTCCTTACAAGGTCCAGCCACTAGAGGGAGACAAAGCCCCAGGTTGATGTTAATATGAGTTCTTCAAGAATTTGGCTACACAGTCTCATCCACAGTGTGAAAGGGGAGTTCAGGCCAGTTCAACCCTTCGTCCGTCTGCGGAAACTGTCAACGATTTGTGACAAACGCAATTTGCGGCTCAACGGATGCCTGTTCCCTAGGAACTGGATTGAGAACACCAAACCTAGGCCACCACGAATGGCGAAACGCCCTCCCCACCCTCACTCCATCAACTTTCAGTCATTACCATTCCAACGCAGCCCTGAACAGGCTTAAATGATCATTTGAAATGGAGACGAAGGCGCACCTGAGCCACTAAGCAAAGGGGCAAAGTCACTTGGACTATGACTGCAGAGACGTGGCCAGAGCTGCCTGGTTCAGACACAGATCAGAATGCCCCCAACTGGTGGGGGGGGATTTGGGTTCGGATTGAGGTCCATCTCCACTATAGCACATTAGATACGAGTATCTTCATCCCTGATATGCCCCAAATGCCCAGAAGGAATGGGCCCAATTCCCAATTGCTCTCTTGCGGCACTTGAGGGAGGGACAGAGAATGCAGATAGGGGGTAAAGAGGACTTTAAGCTACCTTTGCACTCCCCATTATGGCTGGTCAACGTTTTTCATTCAAAACTTTTTTTTCCCCTCCTATGAAAAATGGCTTTGTTGTCAACACAGAAACCTCCATGGGATGTATCGGTTGCCAACAACATTCTTCAGGTTCTCAAATGTCAAAACAAAACCTGAAAGTTTTCAGCCCCAAAATCAAAGTATTTCTGTAAAACATCTGAAAACAAAACAAAAAAAATCCAGATTTTGGCCAAAAAATTAGGATTTTCCAGTTTTTTGATGAAAATTTGGGGAAAAAGTTCTTTTGCAGAAAAATTTCAACGAAAAAACGAAACAAGAGTTATTTTCACCATAATTTTTGCAGAAACAAAAGACCATTTCCCAACCTGCTCTGCTGCCTGTGTTGTGGGGCTGCTCAGGGACCTGCCGAGCTCCCACCGTATGGCAGAGCAGCCTCGGGGCTGTACAAAAAACAGAATAGTCCTGGGGCAGTGCTCTCTGATCACGCCTCCAAACTGCTTCCTAGTTAAGAGCTGGTCAGAAAATGGGCTTTTTTCTACAGAAAATTTTGATGAAAAAAAGAATAATTTTCTCCCAAACCCCACATTTTCAACAGAAAAATTTGACTCCTTGGCAAAAAAGCAACAACTCAAAATATTTTAACGAAAAACAGAAATATTCCACTTTGGATACACTGCCCTGGTGCCTCATGGGAGTTGTAGTTCAGGTACCGCATGCTCTTATTTCTCCTCCCTAGGCCGGCCTGCCTGGTCTAACGGTGAAGCACTGGAATGCGTTACCTAGGGAGGTGGTGGAATCTCCTTCCTTAGAGGTTTTTAAGGTCAGGCTTGACAAAGCCCTGGCTGGGATGATTTAGTTGGGGATTGGTCCTGCTTCGAGCAGGGGGTTGGACTAGATGACCTCCTGAGGTCCCTCCCAACCCTGATATTCTATGATTCTATGATCCCCATGATGCCATTTGTGGCTTTCAGTCAAAATATTTCAATTTTTGGGTCTGCGAGTTTTTGACACCCCCCCCCCCCCCAAAAGCGTGTGTGTAGAAAGCAGACAATTTCTGAGAAAAACTGAATTCAGCTGAAAACCCAATTTTCCATCTAAACAGTTCTGATGGAAAATTTTCCACCGGCCCAGTCCTCCGATGCTGGGGCTGTGAGCTAGGCTGTCGGAGAGCTACTACATACCAGCCAGGCAGCCTCGCTGCACAGGAGAGCTTGTTCCAACCACTTTAAGGCTCCCTCTATGCTACTAGAGTGGCTTAAAGCATCCTTAGCATAAGTCAGGCCTGCTGTCTTCAGAGCACTTTATAGCTTTAGCCCCTTGGTTCTCTGTTTCAGCCGATCAAAAATCCACCATAATAAAGTCATGAGATAAGAGCGTGCCCAGGAGAATCTAGGCCTAGCTACTAGAGAGGCATGCATGCCGGATTGCTGGCCTCCCCCACCCCAACATGCAGCATTAACTAATCTCCGTTATTAGAACTGTTGTGCTTTTTATTCGCAACCCGTGGATTAAAGATGCCTCCTAACAACTGCTCTGAGAAACGCAAGCAGCAATGGGCTCCCAGCGAAAGTAATTCCAGCCGTATCTGTGAGCGGCAATTACCTTCCAGGCTCTTGTGGTCCTGGCAGAGGGGCAGTGGGGGAGAGATTTAGTCAGAATGTGTAAGTAACCTAGAACTCTGGATGAAGATTTCAGATGCTCGAAAGATTAACCCTTTCCCTGCCCCAGGTACAAGGTATCACTAAGGCATTGATCTTCCTGGTACCCAGGTACGTGTGTGTGTGTGTGTGTGTGGGAAACAGCCTAAATACTCAATTCAATTAAGAACTGGTGACTTTAAGCCTAACAAAAATTTCTAACCTGGGTGGTCTGAAGTTAGGCACCTAAATTCTTATTGCAGACACTTGATTTTCTGAGATGATGAGGACTAAGTCACACACATGAGGAGCCGAGTCTCTGAAAATCAGGTGTCTAAATAAGAATTTAGGAACCTAACTTTAAATACCCAAATCTGAACATTTTGGGTAAAATTTCCAAAGGAGCCTCTAAGTCCCACTTTCCAAAGTGATGCAGAAACCTAAGTCCAATAGACATTTTCAAATTTTACTCGTTAGCCTTAGGACAAATAAAGGAAAGCAAACATACACACATGTGTGCCACCTACTCACCCTGTGGAACTCACTGTTGCAGGAGAGCAAGTCAAATACTACAGCTAGCTTGTTTTAAGAAGGGCTAAGTCATTCTTATGACCCACAAGTTTTACAAGCATGCAGGAGAAGATCAAGGTGATCAGATTTCATGCTTCAGGGCTGACCACCAGGGTCAGGAAGAAAATATTTCACCACCCCGGAGCACAGCATTGCACAGCTGGCTAGGTGCCTCATGCAGTGTTCTTGCTTTTGGAGAAGCACACAGCTCTACCTCATCCTTCACCACCTATGACCACACCACTGCCACCAAGATGGCCCAGTGCTTGGACAAGGTCAGTTCATGGATGAAGAACAGCTGTCTGAAGCTGAACCCGAGCAAGACAATGGTCATGCTGGTGGGCAGAGGAAAGCATTCTGAAGAGTCTGCTGCCAGCACGGTGCAGTCTCCTTTGGTTAAAAGTACATCCCCACAATTGGTCAATTCAGACTGTGGTTTAGGAGTACTCCTGAAATCCTGGCTGATGCTGAGCTCTCACAGAGCAGCATCCATGAGTAATGCTTTCAATCACTTCTGGTTGGTGCTGAGACTCGGTCCTATCCTAGCAGACGGTGACCTAGCCTCAGTTATTCACCCTTCCATCACCTCTCAGCTGGTCGAGAGCAATGGGATATACCTGGGCACGAAAACTTCAGTGCTTTGGAAACTCCAACTAGTACAGAACGCTGCAACACAGACTACCATGAACCATCCAGCCTGTCCTCTGCTCTCTACACCGGGAGAAGAGCAACTCAAGCTCAAAGTCTCTGTCCTTATCTTCAAGGCGCTCAATGGCCTGGGCCCAGGATAGCTAGAAGTCTGTCTAAAGCTCCACAATGAAGACCGTGGTCGACAACGCTGCTCCTCTGGCATAATGGAACTCTCTATGATCAGGGTAAAGCTCGTCTGCAGGAGACAGCTTTCTGAGGGGCTAGTTCGAGACTGTGAAATGAACTCCCCCAGGAACTAAGGGCCGTTACAAACCTCACCACCTTCTGCTTCCAGTGCGAGGAGCATTTCTTAGACCTGGCCTTCTGTAATATAAAACACAGAGCAACAGGTATCGATAGTAAAAAAAAAAAAAAATTACACAAACTGCATACGCTTCTCCCCCGGGGAGAGGCTGAGAGAACAAACAACACGTGGCAGATGTTAGTCGCTTAATGCATGACTGGAAGACATTCAGATACTACAGTGATGAGCGCAGTATAAGAACCTATGTAGAACAGCAGAGACTGAATGAACGGACACAGGGAAAGTGCCATCAGATCAAAATTGAGGCAAGTTGGCCGTAATGCCAGGGGAGAACAAAACCAAACCACAAGGAGATCCAGAGCAAGCCAATGGCTCACGTTCATGGTGGAAAGGCCAGAAGGGATCTTTGTGATCATCTAGGTTCACCTCCTGCGTAACACAGGCCACCATAGTTCGCCCAGTAATTCCTGAATCAAGCCCAGTAGCTGCTAAAGCTTTACTTTTAGAGAGACCTCCTATCCGGATTTAAATCAAATAGTAACAATCCTCAGCGCTGACACAGTGCTTGTCATCAGTGGATCTCAAAGCCCTTTGCAAAGGAGGTCAGTATCAATATCCCCCTTTTACAGATGGGGAAACTGAGACGGATGGAGGTAAAGTGACTTGCCCAAAGTCACTAGCAAGCCAGCCGCAGAGCCAAGAA